GGTAGACATGGACACTGGGTTAGGTTCCAATCATCATCGATCGGGTGGTAGGACGCAATCTAATAGCAGTATATATTTAGGGGTGAGAAAAGCAAAATCTCTGTCATCTAGCTCCTTCCATGGTACAGTACCTGGGTTTAATCAGATACAATTTGAAGGGTTTTGTAGGTTCATTGATCATGGCTTAACAGAAGAACTTTCTAAGTTTCCAAAAATTGAAGATACATATTAGAAATTGAATTTCAATTATTTGTAAGGTAAACCAACCTCCTACGGTAAAATAGATGGCATTCCACGCAATGAAGATATTATTGACAAATATCTGAGCGAGTCTTGCCCATTGTTGGAATATGGATGGTCTCATTGTAAAAAATTTGCATCTTTCTTTTTATTTGTGAGTCAATCCACCACGATCAAGACCCATCCTACCTTTTTTGGCAGAGCCGCAAAAAAGTCTAAAGGAGAATGAATGACCTTATAATGCCTATTTCAATTTTATTCCAACTAATTAAATTTTCAGAAAATACCTCGAACCAATGTTCGAGTACCAGGCGCTACGACGCTGAAGTAATCCATGTCATACTCCCAAAAAAAGCTCGAACAACCTTAAACAAAAGGAACCTGTACCCGAAACCGAGGAAAATGGGGAATTGTTGTTTCACAGTCGCTCCTCTACAACTACCTTTCACCCAACATGATCACGAACGAAGACAGATTGGATTTGACCAATGCCGAAGGTAGCTTGCTTACCAAGCCACCCACTTGAGGAGCCAGTCACCAAAAAGAACAGAAGTTTCCATAGAACAATATCGTGACAACGTAGATCTAAGTGAGATATTGGATCCTTGGGAACCATCACAAGTACGACCGACCTATATTGGAAAGAGAATGTTGTGTCGTCCATGAGACATAGAAGAAGGTGACTCACAGAGACATCCGACTCCTTTTCAATAGAAAGGAATAGTCAAACCAACCCAACTGGCTGGTCAATCTCAAAGATCTTATCGACCAGTAAACAGGAGATGGACGGCCACGATCCCAACCTTACCAGCACCAAAGGTTTACTAATCAATTAACCTCTGGCTTCCGCTTATGGGCGATCAAACGGAGCTCGATTAGTTTCTGCTAGACGAGAAATAAAGAACGTAACCAATAAAGGGAACGGGGAATATCGGACCATATTTGCTTTTTCACAATGACAATCTCACAGGTGAGTGATTCATAGAATCCTCTCAGGATTCTAGGGAGATTTTGAACGGAAAGAATTTTTATCCAAACATTAATTGGTTGTATATTAGCGGACGATATATATATGGGCATGCAATGCATTGACATTAGAAATCAAGATATTGGTATCAATTGATTCATAACCTTTCAAACACAACCAATATATATTCAAACAGGTATTTGGTGCTCGAACCAGGCAGCTTCCTCTCCCTCTCCGTCAATTCATTTGTTTAGGGCGAGAGAGAGAAAGCTCATGTAGTCTTTCATCTGTATCCGAAGGGGACAGACTTGCCGGTAACTAACTAAACTCCTTGTCCGGTTCAAATAGGCTGCATGCTCAGACGAAAGTAAGCCTCGAAGGAATAACAAAGAAAGATTTTCCAATCTTGTTAGGAATCGATCTAGACTAACTACCAGCAGGGGCCGCGCATAGAGCCAAGCAGACATGTCTGTTGGCAAAGGCAAGCACGCGTCGAGGCTGGCGACATGGGTGCTGGGGGCGGAAGTGTGCAAGCAAGGCAGGGACATCTGCGAGTGGCAGCGAGGATGTGGCGGTGTGACCAAGAGATTCGACGGTGCATCTCCTCAATAACTCAGTTCTGTTGCTAGCTATTTCCTCCATTGACGACCCTGCAACAACGATAGTGCAACCCAAGATGACCACAGACAGCGATCTGCAGCAACCCGTGACACCCGAACCATATTTGCAACCTCTAACAACGCTCCACGAACAGTAACACATGAACCCGTTGGACAGCATCCGTCCATGATCAGAGCAAGCAGCCCACGAGCGCCAACAACTTGAGCTATAATCCCCTTGCAACAACGCATGGCGACGCGACTCTCCTACAGCGGTGCATTCAAAAATTGGAATATGAATGATTTCTTGGAAGGAAATATCATTGTTGTAATTGTAAATGCTGCAAATCGTAAATGGCATCCAAATGATCTTTTTCCTTTTCCTTTTAAGTATATTATTTTTATTTTTATTTTTTTTGTTTATTTAAAATACTCATCATGGGCAATATGTAATTTTAACTTGGACTCCTTCCTCAAGGGCCAAAATCTATATATGGACATTTATGAAATTAGGGTCTCAAAATGGCCTAGTTGTATCGTTACACGGAACATGGCTCAAAGGGAGCCTAAATCTGTGGGCCGACCCAACTTAAGTTCAGCCCAAAACTAGGGCCCATCTTTGGCAAACTATTCATTGGATTCGGATTCAATCTACAAAAATTTGAAGGAATGACCATATTTACACCGTCAGAATAAATCTTAAATTGCATACCTGGCTACCATGTTTCTTGTTTAGTTTAGTTTTTTTTTTTTTCCATTTCTTTTTTTTCTTTTTTACCCTCCTTAGTCCTCGCTATATTCAAACTCCTTGAAATTATTTATAGTTAAAAAACAAAAAGTTGTGACATTTTCTAAAATAAATATTAAATTTATACGGTAGAGTAAAATTTCTCCTTTAAAATATTTAAAAAAATTTTAAATTAAAATAAAGGGAAAAATCAATGTTTACTGACTGAGTATCACTTTTTACCTTAATATATTTCAATTTCATCTTATCTTTAACTTAGATAATTTTTGCATTTTTGTCTTAAATTTGAAAAAATACTACCATTTTTACCTTCTAATAAGTTTTCATAAAGAAAAAAAGGGACATTAGGGCAAGCTTTATTTATTTATTGAATTTTTTTAGTTTTGGTAAATTTTGTTGAAGCCAGTAAAGTTTTTGGAGAATTTTACATTATTTTTCTAGAAAAATATTAGTGGACCAACCAAGTTGAATGATAGAAAATTACAACAATTATATAAGGTAGAGTCGAATTTAATGAAACTATACACCTTACCATGTTGGGAGTAAAAAATAAGCCATTAATGAAAAAGTAGTAAACAGCCAAACCTAGTTATTTTTCAAAGAAAAATTTTAAAATTTAGTTTTAGATTCATTTGAGTTGCTCGCAAGATTTTAAATTTTGATGTCTATAGAAATGTCAAAATCTCAATTGTCTAGAAATATCTGTGTCCATAATTATTTCGAAAAAAGTATTTAAATTAAAAACAATAAAATGGTTTTTTTTTTTCCTAGAATTTTAATAAAAATATCAATTTATTCATTGTGATATGTTGAGAGGAGATTCGAACAACCTCTCAGTCGCATCGTGGACCGACGCTTGGATACTTCGTAGTTTCTCCCGTGACTCCACTCTTGAGAGGTGACCGATTCAATGCACGATGTGGGTCCTACTCATGACCAGCACAGCTCACCGTTGCCCAAATTTCAAAGACCAACTCAAATGTCGGCCACTCACTTCTCTTTTCTTTTTTTTTTCAATTCAGTTTTCTATATTTTATTATGTAAATATTAAAATTGGTTAATAATAAATTTATTTAGTTACTTAAAAAATATCTAACTATTCTTCCAAATTTTTTGAATTTAATAATTTTATAGAATAGAGAAGTGAAACATTAATATTTGAAACACTTAAACACTTAGTGTTTCATCCACTAGGGTAAGTTCGAATGGATTATATATTTATTTACAACAAAATTCATTTAAATCGTACTAATTTCCATGAAGAACAAAGTTTAATAAACTAATGCACAAAATCAAGTATTAAAAAATTTCTAAACTTGTCCATTAAAAAATTCAGTGCTTCAGCCTTCTTTATTTACTATTTGTAAACTTTTTTCTCAGTACAAATAATTTGAGGAGGGTGAGTTTATAACCTTTGGTTTGAGATATATGCCAATTACCGTTGAGCTATGCTCGCTTTTGGTTACTATTTGTAAATTTGTTAAAAGTTTAAAGGAGAATTTTAAGTCGGTATATTGAGGAACTGCACTAAAAATTTGTGCATAAATGAGATATGACATGCTTCCCTAAAACAAGTTTTTCTAACTTTTTGCCACAAACATGCAAAATTACTTTTACGTTTTTGGTTGAAAATAGGTTTGTTTCGCTCTGGCTTCTCCCCCTCGTCCATGCTATCACTCTTGTTCTCTCCTCTCTTGTGCTCTTCTCTCCCTCTCTTTTTCTCTTAGGCTCACTCTTCTCTCACTCGCTATGGCTCTCACTCTCTCTCGACTTGTTCTCTCCCTCACCCAGGCTAACTTTTGCTGCTTCACGTATTTATGAGAGAAAATTTCAATATCATACCTGTTAGATAATATTATTTTAATTATAATTAGATTTGAACGGAATATTATTAGATTTAGTTTAAATTATATTATTTGATTAAGAATTATACGTTTGTATCAAGCAACCAAATTTAAGGAAACCTATTTGTTATCTTCTCAATTTTCTCTCCATCCTTGGAGTCGATTGGAAATGAAATCTGACAATAAAAGAAAAAAAATACATATAGTAATTCTTCTAGTGATTCTTTATTTTTATACGTATCAGGCTCGTAATTCTGCGTGCAGCAAATCTAAAAATTAAAAAAAAAAAAAAAATCATTTAAAATCACCTCCCAATTAAAGATAAAAAAAGATTGAAGGAAGCGGTTTGAGTTTCCGTGGAAGCGTGTGATTTGAGTTGAAGGCCGATACAAGGAAAAGGATAGCGATGGACGGCTGTGATGTCATGAGCAGTCGACGTGGGGGCCCACCAATTAACGGCCCAGCCCATGGCCCTCATTCTCCTTCTCCTTCTCCTTCAAGTTCACACGCTAAGAATAAGAATTGACTTTGACTTTATTTGTTTTAAGTAAGAACAAAAAGAAGGCTACTTCCAAATTCAATTTCCAATTTCTAGCCCTATATAAAACCATCCCCTCTCCCCAATTCAATCAATCACACAGCCAACATCAACAAGAAGAATTCAATCCAAATCTAATCAGATCGAAGAAGATGAATTCCATGTTCAGTTTGTTCGATGCCTTCGCCGCTGAGTTATTGATGGCCAAAACATTTAGGGCTTCTTCGTCCTTCGCTCCAAACAATGGCAGTGGTGGCTCCGTGAAGTCTCCGCCGAGCAACGCGGCGCCGGACAACCTGGAACAGCCCAAATCCAACAAGAATTCGCTTCTCCGGCCGCCGAGGTTGGCGCCGGAGTTCGACGGCCTCAATTGCTTCGAGACTCTCGTCTCCTACTGAGTATTCATCACTTCAAACTTCAAATCTAACTCATTATTTTCTTCTCTTTTTAAGAAAATTTTAGGTATAAGYTTATACGAGATTTCGAGTAGATGTGCGTTCGTTGCTCTGTTCGGATTCTCTGCTTTTGTTTTCTTCCTATTCTATATAAATCAAATCAAATCAAATCACGCCGTTCGTTGATTGCTCTTCTTCCATGTCTTCATATCATCATCCTTCGTGGTTTTCTTGTTCCTAATTGTTCTTTTTTTATTTCCTTATAATTATCGTAATCAAGATTTGGAAATTATGAACTCTTCTATTTTTGACGGTTAGTGAAAACTCTATGAATTTGAGGAAATATCAGTTCCGGAAACGCAAACACACGGAATAATCATTGCAAAAATACATTCAACATTCTAACCAACTTCTCTCACCATAAATAGATTCACCAAATTTTACCAACTAAATTAGGGCTCTCGCGAAATTATTCAACGTAACTATCTTCTAATTCTATACATATCAATCAAAGTTTTAAAATTTGTAGGACAAGAGAATAGAAGGATCCAAACTAATGACTTATTAATCGGAGACCGTAACAATTGTTGCTTAACTAAATCCATATTAACCAACCATTTATCGTATACTTCTCACGTAGTCATAGTCGAGTGTGAGAATGTTCAATGCATGATGGCGGGCCCACCTTTGTTTTCTTGGAAGTTGGACCTTTGGATTTTTAACGGAAATTAAAATTAAAATACAAGAATGGAATGAATTTTTGTTTGTCGAATTTATATCTTAGAAATTCTGATATCAAAATCTGCTTATATTTTTAGATTCTAAATATGGTGCCAAATCACAAATTAAAAACCCGTCCCCTCCCCTCATTCTTCCCAATCTCATCATCAGGCTCAAGCAACTCGCCAAAATCACAGCAACAACTAGAAGAAATTAATCAGAAATCGAAGATGAATTCTCTGTTCGGTTTGTTCGATTCCTTCGCCGCCCAAATATTGCTGGCCCAATCAGTTGGGGCTTCCGATTCCGATTCCGATTCGAAGAATGCGAACAAACAAGAAGGCGGCAACTCCAAGAACAAGAACTCGACGGTGGAGCCGCAGCAGAGATTGACGCCCGATTCCGATGGCTTCAAGTGCTTCGAGACTCTCGTCTTGTATTGACCTCAACATTCTTTTCATTCTTTCATTTTTCTTTTCCATTTTTTGTGTTCTTGAAATTTTGATCTAATTTGGAGAATGGGGATTACAGTAGTTCAGAGTAGACTTCTCTGTTTCGTTGATCGCTCTTCTTCTTTCTTTTATGATAATCAAGATTGCAAAATTCTCGACTCAACTATTGGTTTCTTGTTCCTCAACCAAATTTCATATTCAACTTCTTGTATTTACAGACCGATTCTCGATGAAATGATTTCATTCAACTCCTGCATTCTACATAATTTCTTCAATTTGGTTCTTCAGTCGTAATACAACATAACTTTCTATTTGACTTAAATTAAAAGATTAGCCTCTTATTTTGTGGGTAATAATTCTATAAATTTAATAGATTAGAGTCTATTAAACGAAACAATAATTTATTAAATTTAAGAGAACATAAAACTTTGAAAATTTAGTAATTTAACAAAACAAAAAAGTACAAAATATTCAACCCTACAATGGAATGAAATTAGAATTTTTATCTTAAACAAAAGAAGTTATTAATGCCGAAATATTCTCAGAGTTTTAAATTTTGATGAAAATATCTGAAAAGGTTATTAAAATAAAAAATTTAAATTAATAAATAAGTATTAATCAATCGTAAATAATTTAAAATGTTGATTTTTTCTGTGATAGGATGAATTTGATGTTGAACTCATGAATATATATAAATCTCGACGGATATCTAATACTATGATTATAGCAAACCTTCGACTAAATATTGCGGCCCTTAATATTGTAAACATAAATTTCAAGGTCGAGAGATAGAACTCGAGCATAACTAACTAAAAAAAATGTATGAGATAAAATCGCTTAATACACCCAATTAAGGAAGATAAACAAATTAAAAATTTTGGGATTAGTCGTCTTCTAATTAAAACTATCCAATCAATACCCAATAAAACAAATCACTGGGGAAAAAATAGAGAGAATTTCCTTTGGACAAAGTCTTGATTGGATAGCCTTAATTAGAAGATTGGAAATATTCTCTCTTGTATTCTAACTAGGATCGTTTCAATGAGACATATCAGTCGAGAGGCAAATAAGGTGGCCCATGACTTAGCCAGACGAGCGATGGAAAACGATTTGAGGGAAGAGTGGAGTTGTAAAACTCCCTCGTGGTTGGACAATGTAGTTTTTCCAGAATTTATTTTATGTTAAGTTGTTTTCTGATCGTTACTTTCAGGCTTTCAGCATCCACATGGAAATTTCAATAAAAATATTGCTTTTTATCTTTACTTCTTAAAAAACTGCAAGAGCCTTTAAAACAGGTTAAAAATTACTTTTGGCCCTTGGACTGTTAGAGAAGTGACGATTTTTTTTTTTTTTAAAGGGTGGGTCTTTATACGCTTCTTTCATCTTTGCTCGAGAATTGAACGAAGGATTGGCTTTGGTACGTCCAATGGTGTTGGAATGTCGCGAATTCACCACATATTTTCTTCAGCAACTCATTTCTACATCTTTCTATGGAAAAAAAAATCGAGGATTATACGTGAGTATCTTGTGCTTTCATTGAGCTAACATTTAGCTTCTGAATTTTAGTCTTTAATAAGTTAGTCTTTCAAATTTGTAACAATTTAGTCTCCGTATTTGATGAAAATGTGAGGAGTATTTTAGTCTAAATTTTTTTAAAGACATTTTGGAGAATTTAATTAAATAATAGAGACTGAAACAAAATCGAGTATAAATTAATCAAATTAACTTAGTTGATTGGATTTTTTTAAAATGATTTTGTTCTTTTTCATTTTTAGTCCCTATATTTGTTTTAAATTAAATATCTAACCTTTGAAAGGTTTTACAAAGATTTGTTTTAACGTTGTTGTTGGCTTAGTTACAAAGATCCATTCATATTCTTTCAAAAATTTCAATACTACCCTCAACTTTTAATAAACGTTTTAAAAATACTTTTTGACTAAACATATACGTGTCAGTTAACGTTTCAATTTTAACCTATAAATATTATTTCTTCATTGTTAAGAGAGTTTGTTCTTCTATTGGTTTATTCAATTTTGCTCTAATCCCCTCTTAAAAACGATAGCTTCTTCCACGTTTCAATTTTGCTCTAATCTATGCAAACTTCCACATTAATTATCACATCAAATATTTTTTAAACCAATGACATAATTCACGAGTATTTTTTGTAATGTAGCCTATATTGTTTGGTGAGATGAAAAGAAAGTGAGTATCAATGTCTGAAATTTAGGCTTGATAAATTGAATTAAAATTTTGATTATATTGCTTTTAATTATTAGGGGACAAAATTATGCATATTTAATTCTATTTTAGATTATATTTTAATATTAATTAAAGTACATGAAATTTTTATAAACAAAATGTTGATGTGGAGTCTTCTAAAATTTACTTGAGATTTCATTGATAGATAATCTGGAAAAACATAAATTTCTACTCGTGTTGATAATTTTTAGTTCAGTGCCAACTCTATTTCTTTTAGGCCACAGTTCATGAAAAAAGAAAATGAAAGAAAGGGTAAAAAAAAAAAAGGAAAGAAGTAAACATGGGATTATATAATAAATGTAATATTTGAATTTCATTAATGGATCAAAAAAGACCAAACTAAACCATAAACATTATTCTAAAAAAAAAAAATAATAATAGTAATAAGAAAGACCTAACTAAACCATAAACATTAAAAAAATAATAAAAATAGAAACAAACAACCAAAACTAAATTTAAAAAATGCAGTGCAATTTTGGGAAGATGTCGTGGATGATCCAATATGCCATGAATTTGTAGGCTTTTTCTGTCAAATGGATTCCATCCCAACTTATATGTTCATGAGGGTTTGGGCAAATTGGTACACCAGGAAGTCCACAAATCTTCATGAGGTTAAAGTTGTAGTTGCCTCCAATCCCGCAACATGATTTTTGCAAGGAAGCTTCATCAAATCCTACTCATATAAATATGGATACGAAACAAAACATTAATAATTTATAGAAGAACAGTACCAAAGATCTAACTTTTATTTTGTAAAATGTAGAATAGCATACCGAGCACAAACGCATGGCGAAGAATCCAAAGCAATGCATTATAGTAGTCGCCATATACAATAACAGTATGTGGATTCTCCCTTCTCAATACTTCAATGGCGTGCTTGATTTGATCATTGTGATAACTTGCCAAACTATTCATACCCTTTAAACAATGAAGTTCATCATACGCAGCTGTATCATTGGTTTGGAATCCAGTGAGATAGATGGGTAAACATCCAATTGGAAAGTTTCCTGGAACAATGACTCTAGTAGCACCATAACTTATCACTTTCTGCAAACATCATCATAAACAAAAAGAGGGGATTAGATTAGTAGGGAAAATCTCAATCAACATCACCTGTAAAGAGTATATAAATATAAATTACCTCAACACCATTCTTTATAGTTTGAACAACATCCGGCACCATATCTTTCACCTCTTGAATAGTTTTACCTTGGAACAGTGCATAATTATAATCATTCCCACCAATCTCGCCCACCAAGAACAGAGCACTTCTTAACTTATCGATGCAATCTATAGCATATAAATACGAAAACAAAATCAATATGTATAATAATGAGAGAAAGAGAAATTGAAAGTATTTACATATATAAAAATTGAAGATTAGTGAACAATTACCTCTTTCATTTAGACAAATAGAGTTAAAATGAGAGTGCATCCAACCAAGCTGATGATCGAGAGAAGAATTGGTAACCGGAGAAAAGATTTTATTTCGTAAAAGAGCCTCAGAAGACAAAGCTGTAGAACCAGCCACTGCAAAATTCACTCCGTGATTTGTCAAAGCATCCCTATTTAGATAAGGATTCACCAATGGAAGTCTTGCGGTTAAAGCTACAAAATCACCCTTAACAAAAGTTTTTATAAGAAAAATTGCAAAGAAAGTGAAATTAGAGAAACAGAAAGAAGATGAAAGTATTAATGAGTTACCGAAGTAATCGAGCATGAGTAAGCCGTTGGAGCAGCGGCCAGTGGCTCCATGAAAGAAGGTTTCACCATAGGG